CGGCAGAGCGCGCGGTGAGTGCCCGCGGGGCGGCTCCCATCCGCGGCGCCCACCCGAGTGCAGCCCGGCTGCGGGGGCGAGGGGCACCACGACGGCTGTGGGAGGTGACATCTGCCCGGACGAGGCGGCTGCTGCGGGGCCCGCGCCGGCGGATGCTGCGACCCGCTGCCGCTGGAGTGTGGGAGGCCGTGCTCGGCCCCGGGCGGTGCCGGGCGCGCTCCCCGCGCACACGTGTCCCCGCGGGGTAGGAGACGGAGGCCGGTGGCCAAGGAACAGAAGCCCGGCCGTAGCGGGGACACACGTGGGGCCCTGCTGGACGTATGTGGACACGTGCTTGGCTGGAGTCGCCATCGCCTGGAGGGGGACAGCGTGGCCGTCCGGGCCCCGTCCGGACCCCCTCCAGCGAGACGGGGAGTTGAGCCAGCCTCCAAGCGGAGCCCTGAACTCCCACCCCGCGCCTCCTTTGTCACCGGCTTGGCGCCCCTCCAGACGGCTGGACAGAAAGCACCTCCCCGGGGGGAAGGCGCTGGGGAAGATTGAATGGGGAGCAAATGGCCAGTCCCAGACTCTGAGCCTCACCCCCATTGCCTTTTTGGGGGGTGGGGGAGCTCAGCGGCTTCATTTGTGGGAGATTTTACCTCTGGAGGGCCTGGAAGCAGCAGCATCGTCCTGTGGGTGGTCTCTGTGAGCTGCGGTGTCCACAGCCTTGCCTGCAATCCCAGTTTACCAGGCTGCGGGGAACCGGAGGGGGTACAGGGAGGGCTGACAGCCCTGGGGCCTCAGGCCTGGCTGGGGCTGCCAGGTTTCTATGGCAACATGGGGGCGCAAGGGGAGGACCCTCCAAGCTGTCTCATGGGCAGGGCGTGGGAACACTGAGTGAGGACAGAAAAAGGAGTATTCAGGGTCCAGAGGACCGCTTGCCGATCGTCTCCTGGCAGAGCCCACTGCCCCCACTGTTCTCAGTTCTGCAACCGTCTTCCCCGTTCCAGCCGGCAGAGTGTGATGTGGGACCCCAGGGCTGCCTGTCTTCCTGGGACAGCTGCTCCCCTCCCCACCTTGGATAGTCTGTCTGACGTCCGGGGCCCCCATCATCCAGATGTCCCTTACCCCAGACAGGAGGCAGGGCTGGCTCAGTCCCCATAGGGCAGGGTGTGGACCTTGCCCCCAAGGGTCTGGGACAGTGGAGAGGTGGGGTGGGAAGAGAGGGTCGGGTCGAAGTGCAGAGGTCAGACTCCTCTCTGCAGGCTGGGGCACGGAGAAGCAGGTCCTGGCACTGAGGCCCTGGGCGAGCGGGGGGGGG